TGTGGAGACACTTGCTCTGCTGGACGAAGCCTCAACTGTCACGCTAATGGACAAGGCCTTAGCGGATGACATAGGTGCTGTTGGACAGTCGGATCCCCTACATATGGCATGGACGAATTCGACGACACACACGGACAACTCGTCATGCAGAGTCTCTGTATTGGTCAATGGCAGCGATGGCACCCAGCATCAAATGGATGATGTGAGAACAGCCAAGGACCTCAAGTTGCATTCACAGTCAATAGATGGCAGAGGGCTGGCGAGTCGATGGCCTCATTTAGATGACTCCAGAGTGGCGTCATACCCAGCAGTACAACCGAGGATGCTCATTGGGCAAGACAACGGACACCTCACAGTGGCACGTGAAGTCGTCGAAGGCCCGCCAAATGCACCTATGCTGACGAGAACCCTTCTTGGTTGGGTCGTGCACGGTCGCATTGGAGCCCGGACTCACCAAGATCAACTCGAACCGGAGGCGATCTACCACATCTGGCAGCCTGAGTCGGATTTGCACCAACTAGTGAAAGAGTCATTCACCATTGAGAACTTTGGCGTTGTACCGTCTGCTTCTGCTGGCAAGCCAAAGGCCATGATCCGTGCTGAACGTATCCTGAACGACACCACGGTTCGCGTTGGTGACCGGTATGAGACAGGCCTCCTCTGGAAGTCAGATCAGCCCAAGCTTCCGTCCAGCCAAGACATGGCTTTCAACCGTCTATTGGGCATAGAAAGAAAGATGGCTAAGTCTCCAGAATTCGCAGCAGAGTATGCCCAGAAGATCGATGAGTACGTTCAGAAAGGCTACGCTCGTAAGCTAACACCAGCAGAGGCTGCCGAGCAAACCGCACATACCTGGTACTTACCACATTTCGCTGTGTTCAATCCGAACAAGCCCGGGAAGCTGCGTTTCGTATTTGACGCGGCCGCCAAAGCTAGAGGGATGTCGCTAAATGACGCACTGCTCCCAGGCCCAGATTTGCTGAACCAGCTCGTGGGTGTCCTGATGAAGTTCCGCCAACGTGCTATTGCCTTTGCAGCTGACATCAAAGAGATGTTTCATCAAGTTCGGATACGCCTAGAAGACCAGCCAGCTCAGCGCTTCTTGTGGCGACAACCTGGTGAGACTGGCCCGCCTGACACGTACGTCATGGAAGTCATGATCTTTGGCGCAGTGTCATCGCCATGCTCCGCACAGTTCACGATGCGGCGCAATGCTGAGGAGCACCGCGAGGAATTCGCTGCTGTAGCCGCAGCATGTGAGGAGAACTACTACATGGACGACTACCTGGACAGCGTCGACACTACCGACCAGGCGGTACAGCGTGTAGCCGATACAATTGAGATCCAGCAGCGAGGCGGGTTTACGATCCGCAACTGGATTAGCAACTGTAACGAAGTGATGATGAGTGTGCCAGCTGATATGAGAGCAGCTGGAGTCGTTGACCTCAGCTCACAACTGCCTGTGGAGCGCATGCTGGGTCTTCGGTGGGACCCGAACAGTGACGAGTTCCTGTTTCAACTCAACGTGACACGCCGAGAGCAGCTGTCTGCCGCGCATCCCACCAAGCGATCCCTACTCAGCATCGTCATGTCAGTTTTCGACCCGCTAGGCTTCCTGTCTGCGTTTGTCATTGCCGCACGGATACTCCTCCAGGACATCTGGTTGAGCGGCATCGGTTGGGATGATGAGATTCCACCCGAGCTGCTATCGCGCTGGCAGATCTGGTGTGGACAGCTGCTGGAGATCAGCAAGTTCAGACTCTCACGTGCGTACTCCTGTTTCACGTCGTCCGCTACTGACTTGTCGCTACATGTGTTCTGCGATGCCAGCAGTAAAGCGTTTGCGGCAGTGGCGTACCTGAGAGTGGAGCACGCAGCTGACGTCGAGTGCAGCTTGGTTGCCGCCAAGACTAGAGTAGCCCCGCTGAAACCAACATCCATTCCACGTCTGGAGCTCCAAGCTGCAGTGCTTGGCTGTCGACTCGCCCAGATGTTAGCTCAAGAGCATGGGCTTAAGTGGCACAGCACCTGTTTCTGGTCAGACTCCAGAACTGTTCTCCAATGGATCAAGTCAGATGCGCGACAGTTCAAGCCGTTTGTCGCTCACCGAGTAGCTGAGATCTGCGACGCCAGTGAGGCCAGCAGTTGGCACTGGGTACCAACACTGCTAAATGTTGCAGATGATGCATCTCGTGGTATCTCCATGCACGAGCTGAGTTGCGGCCGATGGAAGTCTGGTCCGGAATTTCTAATGCAGTCACGGGAAGCGTGGCCAGCTGCACCCGCAACGTCGGATGAGTGCATCGACACGACCGAAGTGAAGAAGGAGTTTGTTGCGGCGACAACATCCCCGCCAAGGCCCCAGCAAATTGCCGAAGCGCTGCCTGACGTCAACCGATTCTCGTCATGGAAACGTCTCATCTGCACAACCGCGTATGTTGCCAGGTTCATCGCAAACACACGGGCCAGAGTTCGCGGCCAAACTGTCGAATCAACCGCAGCCATCTCAGCCAAGGAAATGGATGCGGCCGAGCAGCTCTGGATGAAATCTGTGCAGGCAGAGTGTTTTGCCGAAGAAGTGGCTTTGTTGAGCGGTGGCCAGCCTGTCAGCACCAGCAGTCGTCTACGACAGCTAGCACCAGCCATTGATGAGGACGGGATCCTGCGGGTTCAGGGTCGCCTCACACATGCGACGGAAATGGCGTACAGTGCGAAACATCCGGCTATCCTGTGTCCGAAGCATAGGTACACACAGCTCCTAGTCCATGAATACCATCTGCGTTCTGGCCATCATGGACACGAGAGGACATTGAATGAGCTTCGCCAGCAGTACTGGGTGACGACAGGTCGAGCAGCTGTGAAGCGAGCATGGTCTGAGTGTCAATACTGCAAGAACCAACGAGCCAATCCCAAGCCACCTGTAATGGGAAATCTACCTGTCCAGCGCTTGACCCCGTTCCTGCGACCATTCACGTTCACCGGGCTGGACTATTTCGGGCCGTTGCACATCAAGATCGGGAGGCGCCGCGAACTACGCTACGGTGCGTTGTTCACATGTCTGAGTACCCGCGCTGTACATTTGGAAGTGGCTCACTCTCTGAACACTGATAGTGCCATCATGGCAATCAGGCGAATGTGCGCCCGGCGAGGTTGCCCCCAAGAAATCCACTCGGATAATGGAACCAATTTCCGAGGAGCTGACAGGGAGCTGAAGGCGGCATTGGAAGATTTCCGCCAAGACCGACTAGCTGCTGAGTGTTCCAGTAAGGGCATCTCATGGCACTTCAACCCGCCACTTGCTCCCCACATGGGTGGAAGCTGGGAGCGCCTCGTCAGAGCAGTGAAGATCGCTATGAAATCCGTCATGAAGGAGCGTGTCGTGACAGAAGAAGTACTAGCCACAGTCTTCGCTGAAGCCGAGCAACTCGTGAATAGTCGGCCGCTGACTCACGTCTCAGTAGATCCTGATGATGAAGAGTCCCTCACACCCAACCACTTCCTCATTGGGTCCAGTAGTGCAACTAGTCGGCCAGGCGTGTTTGTAGATGCTGATTTGAGCCTGAGGAAGCACTGGCGGATTGCACAGAAGATCACCGACGAATTCTGGAAGAGGTGGATCTTGGAATACCGGCCAGAACTCACCAGGCGGAGGAAGTGGCAGGACGGCACACCGTCACTGGCTGTAGGTGATGTCGTGGTGATCGTCGACAGCAACCAGCCACGAGGGCAGTGGCCTCGGGGCCGACTAGAGGCTGTACACCCGGGCAGTGATGGCGTTGTGCGGGTGGCAGATGTGCGCACCAAGTCTGGACTGTACCGGCGCCCAGTCGTTAAGCTTGCCAAGCTGGACGTGCTGCGCTAACTTTGTTTGTGACTTGTAACAGGTCATCGGTTCCCTGTTACCAGGGGGGAGAATGTTACAGACCCTTGCACATGAATTCACAATTATTGTATTTGCTCGTTCGAATTTATTTGTATTTTGTCTCTCTCACCTTTCACTATTCCTGAGTTGATCACGTACCTGCGTGCTCCACTCTGCTGCAGTTAGAGGCAGCTACTCTACATGCAGTCGAGTCGATTCTATTGTGTATCTGCATGTCTCCTTGACGATATCTGTCCAGCTCTAAATAATTAGAATTAACACTCTTCTCTCTCTCGCTTCTTCTCTTCAATTTATTTATTTTCGCTTCTCTCAGTTATTTTTGTTTTGTTTGTACTTTGTACGCTATCGCTCTATCTGCATGACGCAATGCAGTTTATGTATGTCGTCACTCCTTGGGGCGCCGTGCCTGCACCTTTGGGGCGCAGTGCACCGGATGTGCAGTGACCTCTACGATGTACGCCAGAGCTAGGATCTTTTTGGCTGCATGTTTCCTTTTGCGCGGCCAGCTTTTCTGCTTGAGGCTACATGTATGCGTGTCACGCTTTGCTTTTCAGAACTCTTTGAGATTCAGTTTTATTCCACTTTGTAAAGAACAAGTAATGGTTCGAAGGAAATCTTGTCTACCATGGCCACAGGGCCGCAACAACAAACCTGATTTTCAAGGTAAGGTATCGCCACGCAAGCCTGGTTGTATTGAGGACATACATTTGAAATAACAGGTTTGAATAGAAGCCCAGCACTGACAAGCGTTTCCATAGGAATAATCCCAGACATATATTCAGCCTTCCTACCCGACATTATGGTCAATTCCAGTGTGTCGTTCCCTGCATGAACCCTACACTCTAGTTACCATGGATAGGCAGGTTATACTAGCTTCTCGTGTCTCGTTTTCCAGCCTGCATTCCCGTATTCCACAGTGAATGTTCAATGAAATCTGATCAAGTGAGTCAAGTAAGTAGTCAGTGCCCTGCACCAGGTCACAAACCAGTCACGGTTTGCAGGTCTAGGGTTGGACAGCTCCCAGCACATACTTGATTCACATGATTGGATTTCATTGAGCAGCACTGTACTTTCCAGGGTATATTTTAAACTGAACACTTTACTGAAATCATCTCACCATTGTCCTTCACTGCGGGCTCCACAACTGTCATTGGCATCGCCGGCATTGGCTTCTCAGTATCAGCAAGCTCTGGGATCTGGAGAGAATCAATGAAACACAGCAGTGTGGCATGCAGCCAAAGAAAATGATTTACACCAGCCAATCCCCCATCCCTTTACTGTAGACTTGTACTGGGACTAAAAATGATGAAGTCAGAACTCAACAGATAAGCAGATAACGACTTCTGGGGGATCTACTTCGATAGTATAGCAAAGTGCATATCTGTCAGGTAGGCTCTCATTGACATTGTGTCACATGCTGGTGTACTGAATTGGATTCAGTGCCAGAATTTGGTCCCCACTACTCGGGGGTTGGAAGCAGTCCAGTAAGTCTGGGCAGATTTTTCACCCTACGGAGAAGGAAACAACTCAAACGTGCATGGATCCATACAAAACTAGATACAATTGGATCGTAAATTCAGCGCTGTCATGACCCTGGCCTGGTTGTGGTATAGCACTTTCAAGCCCTATTGCATTTGTCCACATCAACTCCTTATGTTTCTATTGCTATTGTCTTGCAAGTGCAGCAAAATGTACTTGTACTCATTCCAGGTATCAAGCACTACTGTGAAAAGGGAAAATTTAGGAGCAGATTTATTTTCAGTAACTTCAGTACAGGTAATTGTTACCTAAAATAAACTGAGAACTAAAATTCAACAATCCCATGCCACACAGTGTGCAAAATGCATTTTTTGATCTGGTAAACTGGTTTCCCGAAATTTTCGCGCTACCGTCAGCCTACCGAAACGTTGATTTTGGGAAATACCGAAAATATTACACCACCGGAAATCCCGGTTGTACATTATGGATAAAAGCGATCAGGGGAAATCTTTTCTCAAAGATTTGGGTTTGATGGACTTGTCAACACGGTTCGACAAAAATCATAAATAATTAATGATGTGTACGTGCATGCCAGTGTTTCTCGTCACATGGTGGTTGCCATGGAAACAGCAAACCATGAGCCAGCAAGTGCATGCTGTATTGTGCAATATTACCTACACTGGTTTGGGTTAGAGTACAGTGTGATTGTTTGGTGTGGGAGCCGGTAGATTTAGAAACACTTCCAGATCAGGGCAACTGAGTAAAAGAGATTGGCCTCACAGCCCTAACAGCTGCACCATTCTGACATCTACTGGCCTTGTACTAATACATACTCTCGGGCGGGCTGTAAACGCAAAGCATGGGGAAAATATATTTAGGAAAACTGAACATGACCTCTTTTTAGTTTTTACCTGTGTATCTTTGGCAAAGCATGGCCAGTATTGGCGTACATCACTGATATCCACTTCTGGGCGTCCTCCGATGGTACAACGTGGACGAAATCCCTCCACCAGTGGAGCAAAGTGCTGACAGCCAATCTCTGCACAACCCTTCTTCTTGTGCTTGCGACACGCATCTCGGCTGAACGAGCATGGACAGCGAACAGCTCTGCTAAACTTCACATGAGTCAGGGAGAATGCCTTCAGATTGTCGAGCTCCGACTCCAGGTATGGTAGAAGCTCATGACAAAGCTTGACTGCAGCGGACTCATCCTCGCTTGCTGCAGTACCAACGCCAGGAGAGCCAACTGAATTTGCCACGCGAGTAACAGCATCGGTAGAAGAAGACTTCGTTGTGCCAGCCGCGACGGGAATCTCCAGTGACAGACGAATGCCATGCTGGAAATACTGCATAACCAGCCAGAAGCGATCCTTAATCAGAATACGTGCCGATGTGTGATACAGGATGGGATCCACCTTTGGACTGTAGCGTTGCATACACCTCACAACAGCACACCAGAACAGGGTTTGTGGAAAGTAACGATCTGCACCACTGTAAAGGTACATAGCTGAACTTGGCTTGCCTTTGCTCAATTCATCTTGAAGACGTGCAACTCGCTCCACTAGTGCTGGTACAAAGAACTTGCGAGTTGTCACCACCTCCTTACTCTGACCAGGCACGCTCACAGATGTCTTGGTGTTGTAGAACAGGGCAAAGTGCTCACCCATCTCAAACAGGAAATTGCGCTGTTCTTCTGTGGCCGTGTAGCGCGATGTCATACGATTGTGCTGTGACCAGCGGTGGATGGCAAGACTTTCCAGGAGGATGCCATCCTGAGTCAGCAAGTCGTATTGTGGACGTAGACGCTTGCTCTGCATATCCTTTGGCTCGGGACAAAAGAGCAGTGACATGGTCTTCAGAACCCAGTGGATGTCAATGATCACACGATCACGAAGACGGGCATTGTGAACAAAGCGAAGCAAATGACCAAGACCATGGTGGAACTTCACCATCTCCTGGAAATCGGACTCCGAATCCTCACTGGAGATGCTACCAACAGCAATGGCCAAGCGGCGTAGCTCGTCAACAGATAACCATGGTCGTTCAAATGATTTTGCAATGTGCCCAATGGAGATTGTTACAGGAAGCCAACGAAGTGGAATGGGAACGCTAAACTGATGCTGCAGCTGCTGGACGATGTCTTGCCGTAGCTGAACAACTGCTGGGTCTTCCGGATCCTTGCCAGCTCGTGTGTTGTCCACAAATACCACCTTGTCGATGTTGTTGGCATAGGCCTTACCCTCTGAATTGGCCAAGATGTACTTCTTTATCTCTTCAGTTGCCTTCTTCCTTGCTTCTGGCTTCTTTGGTAACTTGTCCACATGTGTGCCAATGGCGAACACGGGCACCTTGTCACTGTCTCCAATAACCTCATGGATAGCGTTGAACCACGTCTCCATCACATCAAAGTTGGTCTGCTCCAGGTTGTTGGAAAGCGGCAGTTCCTCACCGTCTACACCAAACGTCGGCTTTGCTCTGTCCTGGAGCTTCTTTGACGCATCGAACACAACAGCATACGCACATCGGTCACAAGCCAGGACCATGTGTTGGATCGCTGCAAACAGTTTCTGACCCGCAAAGTCCCAGACGTCCATAAATGTCAAGTTTTTCAGATGCTCTGCAGTGAAAACTTCACTTTTGCCCTTCTTCAGATCTTCAATGAAGCCTTCAAACTTCTGCGTTGCTGAGTTGATTTCTTTCTGTAGCTGCTGCACATCTTGCTCTGCTGTTGCTACCTGTTGTACACTCATGGTTGAGACCTCCACCGACTTGCATGCAGTGGAAACATTCTGAGAGTCAATGGTTTCAGATGAACTGTTAGCTGATTGACCAGAGTACCCGGTGTGGGTGGCTTCATCCTGTTGGCTGACAGCAGATTCACACACACTGGCTGTATCTGCTTGCTCAGTCTCAATCACAGCGGATGGTGATGTTACGGGTGTTGACGGCATGGAGGATGAGGACCTGGTGTTCTTTAGGATCTTGACACCTTGTTGTCTCAGTGCTGCTACTATCTCTTTCCTCCTTTGTTCTTGTCCAACAGCTCTGTGCGTCAGGGCCAACTGCTGCTGGTAAGAATCTTCAGCTTGCTTCCAGACATACTTTAACCCTTGCTTCTCGATCGTGCATATCACCTTCTCCAGCTCCACACCGATGGTACTATCGACCTTTGACATGAATGCTTGACGCAGGAGGGATCGCAGGAAGCTGCTCTTGCCTGTGCGGCCCGGCCCGCACATTATCAGGCGCCCGTACGGTATCAGCTGGACACCTTCCTTGATCAGCTCACTTAGTGCTGCTGCGTACTGGCCATTATCAGCTGCACAATACACATACACCAGAACAAAGCACAATACACGTGATGTAGATATGAGGAAGAATTTATTGAAGAAAATGGGAAGGATGTTCAAGATGAATTGAGTTTAGCTAGTCTACAACACCCAGAATAATCCGATTTCAGCACCAGAATTTCAACATGAACAGTTTAGCAGGACCATTTGAGCACAAGAATTTCATTGGAATGTAACTGACTGCTGTGAATTTGAGCAAATTAAATCTTAGAAGCGGATGGTATAAGCCTTATGCACGTTGTACAGATGCACGAAATCCCGTAGAATCTCGTAGAATCCCATAGACCCGGTTGGGTGTTGAATGTACACGACCCTATTGTGTTTACTGCTATTTCCACTAAGAAATGGGCCCTGAAGGCATTTCTTACAAAAACCTTTTTCTGACAAAGATCTAGCTAGTTATTAGTTATAACCAAAGTGAAGAGACTGGAAAAGCGATTGTTTGCTACTAATTATGAGAAATTGGTCAAATGCGCATATATAGCACACAATGAACACCTGTCCGGGTCTGTACACACCTACGACCTTAGTAAAGAACTTCATACATCTGTACAACGTTCATAAAAAAAGTAAATTATCGTGTCCGTTCCCGAAGGAAACTCACGACGGCCGCTAACACCCGGTAAACCCTAGCGGCAGATGCAGCGCCTAACGGTGGGGGTGAGGGGATAAGTCTCACAACCACTGGCACAAGTGCCCAGAAAGACCCCATTAGCCGCATCCACTCCTTGTGCCTGGCCACAAGTTCCCAGTTGACTGTGGATAGCACCAGGCAGGACTTGAACCAGGTACCTCTCGCATCTCAATCATGGTCTTTGACCAACCCACTGTGCCTGCCTGGTACAACGCGTGTAAGTTCTAATGAATCTCTTGAAGTTGCACCACATTATCTGCACGCTACGTATCTGTGGTCATACACTGAGTGTCAGTGCAAAACATTTCCATAGCACTTCTTATCCTAGCACTGTTCAAGCTAGTGTCTGCCAATCATGTGACCCGTCTGCTGAAATCACATGCTCTGCGACATTTCTCATTTCTACAATTTGATTATTTAGGGCATTCCTCCCTTTCGTACTTCCATTGATTCACCACAACAGAAAACTAAGGTTCCATTTATTCGGTCATTCCCAAATGGGCATGGAATGACGTTGTTACCCATCGCGGAATCGGAATGAGCGTAGCAAACAAACGCGCCGGCATGCATTCGGGAATCTAGCAAAGGTTTTGCGCCACTCTGGAAACGAAACGACGGTTGAATGTTTTTGGTTTCTTGAGTATGACTATTACAGTCAAATCTGACGTTAGCGACCTCTGCTGTAGGCGACCATCTACCGTTAGCGACTGATTTTCCGTGCACCGACGGTTTC